AAATATGCATTCATTGGTATAAGAAATTTGTCCAATTTGAAAAAACAGTTTTTAAACTAAGTGAGAAAAGTTACAAAAAAGTTATATCTAGTTTAAGACAGAGTTTGGAATCACCTCTTCAAATTAAGGTATATTTTAGTAATAATTTTAAAGTTACAAACTAAAGGTACTGTGAGCAATGAGCTCACTAAATGATACCCCCCTCCTATATGGTTATAATGGCAAAGTCCATGTTTTACTGTGGCTGGGAAACCCAAAATATGTGTCGGATCAAAAAGTAAAATAGGAAGTGCACAATGGCAATATGTAATAATGATTCTGTGATAGTTTCATTAAATTTCACTCGGTTGTATAAGAAGAGTTGCAGATAAGAGATGGGTACCCCAAAGCGTAACAGACAGACGGACGTACAGCTATATGTACAGACGGACGAACGGACATACTGATTACAGTATACCCTCCCACTTTTCAAGCAGGGGGTATAAAAAAGTCGTCTGGCAAAAAAGGGAACACCTGCAAAGCAGAGCTCCTCCTCAAAGAAAAGTCCATTGATTCTGATATAAGTTATGATTTTAATAACTTCTTCCACGAGAAGCAAAGAGGATAGGACGATGGGGTAGGAAATTTTATTAAACACTCACCCACATAAGGGGGGGGGGTGAAATATATAAATACAGAGTAATGTAAAATATAACAGAGTGATAAACAGTACCGGTAGTACATCTTGTGCTAACCTAGCCACTAGTTTTAGTAAGAACTTCTATTAACAAAAGTATAATAAAACACTCTAAATTTCAGACATATAGATCAGCCTAACTAAGTCCTATAGATAACTGGGGACAGTGGAGAGTTGTACTTTTGCTAACAAATTAAGTGAACAGTTGCTTATTTGTAATTTATCCCATGTTTACCCCGTTATCCCATGGATATGACTCATTGGACATTTTTAGCTCACCTGAGCTGAAGGCTCAAGTGAGCTTTTCTGATCACATTTTGTCCGTCGTCTGTCTGTCTGTCCGTCTGTAAACTTTTCACATTTTCGACTTCTTCTCAAGAACCACTGTGCCAATTTTGACCAAACTTGGTACAAAGCATCCTTGGGTGAATGGGAGTTTAAATTATTAAAATGAAGGGCCAAGTCCCCTCAAAAGGGGAGATAATCAAGAAAAGACAAAAATAGGGTGGGGTCATTAAAAAAATCACAATGGGGAATCAAAGTTTTACATAGAAATACATAGGAACAATCTTTACAAATTTTTTTCTCAAGAACCACTGGGCCAGAAAAGCTGAAACTTATGTGGAAGCATCCTAAGGTAGTATACATTCTAAATTGTTCAAATCATGACCGCTGGGGGTAGGACGGGGCCACAATAGGGATTCAAATTTTTTTCATAAAAATATATAGGAAAAATCTTTAAAAATCTTCTCAAGAACCACTGGGCCAGAAAAGCTGAAACTTATGTGGAAGCATCCTGGGGTAGTGTAGATTCTAAATTGTTGAAATCATGTCCCCCGGGGGTTGGGCGGAACCACAATAGAAAATCAAAGTTTTACAAAGAAATATATAGGAAAAATCTTTTAAAATCTTCTTCTCAAGAACCACTGAACCAGAAAAGCTGAATCTTATGTGGAAGCATCCTGGGGTAGTGTAGATTCTAAATTGTTCTAATCATGACCCCTGGGGGTAGGGTGGGGCCACAATGGGGAATCAAAGTTTTACATATCAAATATATAGGAACAATCTTTAAATATTTCCTTCTCAAGAACCACTGGGTCAGGAAAGCTGAATCTTATGTGGAAGCATCCTGGGGTAGTATAGATTCTAAATTGTTCTAATCATGACCCCTGGGGGTAGGGTGGGGCCACAATGGGGAATCAAAGTTTTACTTATCGTTATCAAATATATAGGAACAATCTTTAAATATTTCCTTCTCAAGAACCACTGGGTCAGGAAAGCTGAAACTTATGTGGAAGCATCCTGGGGTAGTGTAGATTCTAAACTGTTCAAATCATGACCCCCAGGGGTTGGGCAGGGCCACAATGGGGATTCAAATTTTTACATAGAAATATGTAGGAACAATCTTTGAAAATCTTCTCAAGAACCACTGCACCAGAAAAGCTGAAACTTATGTGAAAGCTTCCTTGGATAGTGTAGATTTTAAATTGTCAAAATTATGACCAGTGGGGTAGTGTGGGGTCACAATTATGTATTACAAGGGGGAAATCTGGTAAAAAACAGCATGGTCAAAGCTTCTCAGGTAAGCGATGTGGCCCATGGGCCTCTTGTTTTGATATCCCACTATTAAGTTCAGCCGTGACGTCATAATTATTTTTGCAGTCCATTCTAAAAACAGTGTAAAACATTGGCCGTGAAATATTAAACATAGGATAAAAAGAATCTCCCATGATTTGTAGTTGGATATGACTTTTATTCAACTCGTTGTGGGTTTTTATCCCCTTGCCAAGGCAGGGGATAAAATACACACAACTCGTTAGATAAAAATCCAACTACAAATCATGGGAGATCCTATATTTATTTGCTATACCAGGTACATGTAATTATTTGTTATTACTAAAGCCAGAGTGTAAATCAATGTTCACAAAACTGCTAAAGCAGTGGATCATTTTTCTACATATTTTTCTTTGGAAATGGGAATTGACAATTAATTAAAAGCTTCCATTTTTTGACATTTTTAAAAAGCCTAATATAATTATTTTTTTTTATTTAATAATTAATGTATTGTCTGTAATTATGGCTTACAAATGATGTAACTAGGTCATATTCGGGTCAAATTTAGATACATGCAGTTTTATGTATTGCTCAATTCACATTTTGTACCCGTGCAGAGGATTTTTTTCCTCTTTAAATTTAAATATATTTAAAATGAATTTTAAAGATTTTATTGGATTTGATATTTCTATTGGATGTATATGTTAAGTTGACTACAGCTTGTTATGTTGACAATCAGAAAGGTATATGGCTATAATTGGAGAAAAATCATTCACCACTGATCTTTCACTGAATAATTAGATTCCAGTTTACTTACAATATCATGTTAATGAATTGTTGTTTTGAATGTCTGTCGTTAATACAAATATGTTATATTACACCATTTATTGTTACTTTTTTGCGAAAAAAAAATTCAAGTGGGCTCTTCTATTGATATTGAACTAATATACAGTCTAACTTTGTTATCTCAAACCTGATGGGACTGAGAAAAAACTTTGAGATGTCTGAGGATTCAAGATATCAAAGGTTATATACTTAAAGACTATGTGGTTGGGACTGCCACATCACTTTGACATATCCATGGTATTCGAGATATAGGAGTTTGAGATACCAAAGTTCATCTGTATATCATTCCAGTGATAAGAGAGAGAGAGAGTAATAGAGATTATCATCCCACCTCAAAAGTCCAGAGAAAGGGGAAAAAACTCTTTTCATAGATTTTGCAGTGGTGTGTTGCAACAATTCTGTCAGTCATTAGATTTTGCTGTGGTGTGTAGCAACAATTCTGCCAGATCTCAAGAGCCTCTTGGCCAATTTTATTAAATCTGTCACATACTGTGAAATCGCTAATTTTTGTAGGGTTAATTTTCGTTGTTTTCAAGGTATGAAGAGACCCATGAATTTATGTCCACCACGAAATGTAAAATGTCATCTGTATAACTAACTCAACAATTCTTCATCCACGAAATTGAAACTCCAAGAACCCGTATTATTACTTCAAACGATGAAAATTTGACCCCAAGAAAATATGTGATTTCACAGTACTTGTATTTATTCCTAAAGAGTTTTTATTGATTCTGTAAAATAGGGCAGTGACCCTTAAACAAGAGGAGACAATAAGAGTTGAATGTAATGGTTACTTGGTTACTCAAAAATGGCCTCCTAGAACCACTTGGCTGATTATTACCAAACCCGAACTTACGGATGAGGCTATGATGGAGATAAAAATTATTCATGACAGCACGATATTGGACAATGGGTGTGGTAATAAGAACACTTAAAAGATTATCAATCCTTGTCAGTTCATCTTAGGAAGTTAGGATCTCAGTATATACTCACTGAAAAGTAGGTCACAGTGACTTTATCATAATTCATGGTTATGTTATTCCAAAACGTGCCATCAATAAAATCAAGTTCTTACCATAAATACTATGGTAAACCAGTTCTGTCAATATTTTAAAATGAGCTACGTTATTAGACTAAGTATTAATAGCATCAAAATCAGAACTGTCTCGGTCTATATAAATTGAGCTACTACTACCATATAAGCAGAATTTTTAGTGAAGAATGAATTTTGACATTATAAGCAAGACTGCCGATCGAGATTGCTAGAATTGAATATCACTAAAAATTAATTCTATTTTATTTGTAATACTAATAGTTTCTTTAGTGAGATTTTGAAATCGCTAAAATTACATCTCGCTAAAAATGTTTTTAAAGGACAAATTGCTAAATTTGCGTCTCGCTAGAATTTCCACTTATACAGTGATAAATAGCGTTGTAATCAGTGCTGCGATACTGTTGTTACTACTTCAACTCTGTCCAAGGTTGTACCTAAAAGCATGCTAAAATTTTAGCAGTACTTGGACAGCAAGAAGGACAAACACATGTGACCCATCCATATTATTCAGAAGAAGAAGTCAATTGCTTAACTATGATATTTATTTCTGAGAAATAAAAATATAAAATTGTAAAATAAAACATTATTAACATTCTGAATCTTATTGAGAAAAAAAAATCAATTAAAGCAGCCTAATACTTCTAAATCTATTGACTTCGTTTTTGCCATTTGTTGTGATTTTAATTACTGTTTAGGAAGTTTAGCGAGTGGACTAGATGTTAGTACATCCTGCAGCCTATAGAATCACAGTTTAATCCTATCTTGTTATTGATCCCTGGATTTCTCTCATTCTCTTGATTTTCTTCCTCTCATTGTTTTGTAATAAAGTTTGAATGAAGCTGATTGATTATTTTGCCCAAGTGAAAAATAAATTTCATAAAAAATTAAAAAGTTTGCATTCTTTAATTATCACAGTCTGAATCAGTCTATTCCATTCCCTCACAGATGTTAATGAGCACCACTCTGTAGAAAGTCCTGCAAAGAGAAAGACAAATTGACGATTTAAGTCGTACAAAATAAATAGGCCAAAATTGTTCTCCAGCTCAATTTTTTTTTTTTTTTTTTTTTTTTTTTTTGAGAAATTTATTTCAACTTTCACATAAATTACACAAATATGAAACAGATGTATATATAAATACATATATAAGAAGGTTTATAATAAAGCAAAAACAAAAAAAGAAATAATAAAAACTAGTGTGAAAGTTTATGTAGAAAGAGAGAGGGGGGAGAGAAAGGGGGGAAGAAACGAGAAAGTGAGCGAGAGAAACATGAGAGGGCACACACTTTATTGAACAGGTTACGGTAAGAAAATTTTTTAAAGTTTTTCAACTATTTCCTGCCAGTGTCTTTCAAATTCATCATATTTACAATTTTTTAACAAAAGAAAATTTTCTACTCTAATTCTTTCAGTAATAACAATTTTTAAAGTCTCAACGTTTAATTTTATAGTTTTGGCATACTTACTTGCAAAAATATATTGTTTTATAATCAGAATAAGTAGATTTTCTAACTTGTAGAAGTTTCTGTTTAAAAATTTACCAAATAAAATTGATTGTCTATCAAAACAAACAGACTTAATTGTTCACTTTTTGCAAGATCCATTCTTCAATCTCTAACCATTCTTCTTTTACAACACAACATTCAACAAAAAGGTGATCAATAGTTTCAATATCTTTCTCACAGAAGGAGCATAATGGTGAATCAATAAGTCTTAATTTAAAAAGATGGCAATTAGTAGGAATTATTCTATGTAAGATTTGGAATTGTAACCATTGAAGTTTTGATTCTTGGGTTGTTTTGAAAGGTAGCTCAACAATTTTTTCCCAGTATTTTTCACTAAATTCTTCCCCATTTTCACTCCATTTTATAACTGAAGTTATATTGCCCTTTTTATTCCTAATGAGAACATTATACATATCATTACACCCTTTTTTACTCTTTAAGAAAATTTCAAGGCTGGATGGAAGCATTGGTCTAGGCCTTGGCTTTATTTCATAATTTTTAGAACATGATAGTCTCTTTCTAATTGCTGTTCTTAGTCTGGCATATTCAACATAGTTTGTATTTACCTTCAAATTATTTTGAAAAAAATCAAAACTGTTAAAGTTTCCATTTAAATCTAAGAAATCATTGATAAAAACAAAGCCCGAATTAAAGTAACTTTTGATGAAAATTGACTGGCCACCAATGGTAACTTCTGGATTATGCCATATGTGTTCTTGGAGAGGACTTAAATCAGCTATAGCTTTAGCCTGATTTACTTTACACCAGCTAGAGAAAACATCTTTCCAAAATTTATTTTTCGTGGTACTACTCAGATCCTTAATAAAGTCAATTCCAAACAGCCAAAGATGATTTATACTTATTCCCAATTCTGCTTCAAGTAGTTTAACCCATTTTGCACTTGAGCACATAACCCACCTTATCCAACTAGATTTCAATGATGTAACAAAATTTTTATAGTCTATCATTTTTAAGCCCCCAAATTTATGCTCTTGAATCATTACATTTTTCTTGACTTTATGATTGTTATTATTCCATAGAAAACTAGTGCTAATTGTAACGGGGACCGTTACAGATGTTCCCCAAACGCTCCCCATGTCCCTTATCGTGCCTTATTCCTCTAAGACCTTTTTTAAATATGCTAAGTATCCCAAGATTTCATTTAAGAATATAAAAGTTACAATGATATCAACTATCAACGATATATTGTTTAACGTTTTGCATGCGCGCACACGTACATGTACATGCATATGCAAGATGATTATGGCATGTTGATTAAGCGATTAACATATCTTTCTATCCCGCGAATCAAAGAAAAAAATACATATATAAATTTACCATTTTTCAAGCATATGTCATATTTTTAATATATCGATTCACATTTTATTTCTCTACTTATTTTAACCTCGGGCTCAAAGTTGGTTTTATTCCGACGACAAGGCAGGGTTAAAGTCGACTAAGGGTATCACGCCAATACCTAACCAATCAAAATGAACTTATTCAATAGTAGTTCCATACATGGAAAAGGGATTTTCCTTTCTGTTCAGAATTTTTTTAATATTTCCTCTCAGGCCATTTTGACAACTCTGATACCTGTGCCTGGTAAATTTTATATACTTTGTAAATAAATATATAAAGGTTTTTTGACCGGAACTATTCATTTTTTCCAATGCATAGGGGGCTACTCTCTGGGTTTTACAAGAGATGTTTAAAAAGACATTCGTGTCAGCTAATGTGACCTATATTGTTTAACACCTTCTTATTAATATTTTTTTCATGAATGCAAATATCTGATTATTTTACGAAGGAGCGTACATGTATATTGATTTTTTTAATATACCGAAAATCGCTATTTCTGGGGATTGCGTAATTCTAAAAAAAATTCAAATAAATTTCAAAGGTAAATTAAACAAAGGATGCTTGGTATTAAAATATTATTTCAAATCAGTAGAATCGAATGCTATTAACGACATCTGAATAAATAGGCTATAAAAGGCTTATATGCCAACTTTGGTCATCTGCACTTTAATTTTAAACACGACAGGATTTGTAATTTTTGTTGTATAAATTAATAATTTCTATATACTTTGGAAACTCAAATGAAATATTTTAATGCACTTTCCTCGAGCTCTTTTCTGCAGTTTTCCTGAAATTTTATGTGGGTCCGAGGTGTTATTTGAGTTTAACAGTGATTCTCTACGTTGCCATTAATTTGATTTGTTTGTGTGTGTGTGTGTGGAGGGGGGGTTATTTTTATTCTTAACCTATTTAACGTTGGAGTTGAATCCTGTATCTTATTCCAAGAACTTAAGATTGATTGTGACATTTGGATGAAAGGTCAAGGTCATTAAAAACCACCACCTCTTTAACTTCTAACCTGTCAACCGAAATAAACTCTGAAAGGTGTTTCTAGATACATGTACATGTACTTCATGTTTCTTTTTACCCTTGGGTCAAGGACAAAGGTTAAGGTCGATTTCAAGTTCATAGGTCAAGGTGATTTTGGTAAATAGTTAATATCAACATTTTATTCAGGTTACCAGTGACCTTGACCTAAGTTTCAAGGTCAAGGGTAAAAAGATCTGCATGCTTCAGTATGTTACATGTCTTGACATTTAGAAGTTCTTAATTCTGCATGAACATCAAACACTCAAGTATACTGTCTTTTAATACATTGTGTGCGGTCGCATGTGCATGCACGTCCATGTATTTACTTTTGATAGTAGTATAATGTAGGCAATCATTATATCTATTCATATTTGAAATTTCACCCTGTATTATTGAGAACCAAGAAAGTTTTAGGCATTTAAAGTTTTAGCCAATCAGATTGCAGCACACGTGCATGTGCGTGCGTTCATGATTATTCTTATATATCATGCTGTAGATCTTCATAATGTAAGACTATGTTCAAAATTTCAAAGGATTTTGTCAGAAAACAAAATAGATATTTAGACTTTAAGTTTCAGCCAATCGCAGCGAAGGGCACCTGCATGCGCGTGAGATCTTGCTATTTTGACCATGTCATCATGTCTATACTACTATTATATCCTTATATTATGAGTTTCAAAGCATTTCATCCAATATTTAAAAAGTTACGGCTAAATCTATTATATTGGTCATTTCACGTGTTACACGTGCGCGCACCTGCACGCACGTGCGCGCAAAATGACCTTCGTTCCGCACATCTACATAACATACCTAGTGACCCTAAAAAGGTTTCACCTAGATCGGATGAGTAGTTTACGAGAACACTCGCGGACAAAAAAGTACCGGAGAACAAAGAAAAAATTCAGAAAAAGTAAAAACAATATGTTCCCAAACTTCGTTTGGGGAACATAATTATACAAGTCTTTTTCAAAAGCACTCATGACATCATCATTAGGATTTGGTAAAGTGAGTACAAGATGATTTAGTTTAGGAATTAGTAATGTTTTTATTACAGTCAGTCCTCCAAGAGGAGTAAGTTTGCAAGCTTTCCATTGTGACATGGTTTTTTAAATTTCTTCAATTTTTAATTTGTAATTAATATCTACCATCTCATGCAAATCAACAGAAAACTTAACACCTAGTAAATCGAAGGATGTAGTACTGGGATCCAACTTCCATCTTGAGTGATGAAATACATCTTTTGAGAATTTTTTACTTCCAATCCAGACTAATTTAGTTTTAGAAAAATTTATTTTTAGACCCGAGATTGATGCAAAATAATCTAACACTCTTGTAATTCCATCCAATGAGCTCGGAGAGCCATCAGAAATAACTGATGTATCATCTGCGTATTGGGACAACTTGTATTCTTCACCATCAATAGTTGTACCTTTAATATCCTTATTTTTTCTAATTAAAATACCTAGAATCTCTGCACAAAGTAAAAAAAGGTACGGTGAAATAGGATCACCTTGTCTACAACCCCTTTCAGGGTAAAAATACTGAGACACAATCCCATTTTGAATAACACAGGACTTTATATTATTATAGAAACATCTTATCCAATTTCTAATTGACTGACCAAAATTGAAGAAACAAAGTGTTTGATTTATGAAGTTCCATGAAATGGTATCAAATGCTTTTTCAAAGTCGATAAACATTAAGAGACCAGGTATATTTCTTGACTCTGCTTGGTGCATAATATCATATATTAGTCTAATATTTTCACCAATAAATCTACCTTTAATAAATCCTGTTTGGTCCCCATGTATTAGCTTATCTAAGAATTTTTTAATTCTTTCAGCAATGCACCCTGAGCCTAATTTATATACAACATTTAAGAGGCTAATTTTTTACTTTTATCATTTTGTTTTAGGATACAAAATTTCTCTTAATAACCCTTTACTTTGCATTTAAAGCAAATGATGATATGGCATGTACAGGCCTCCATATCAATACAGTCTAAAATATAGTTTACCAATAGACCATTATACTGTTTAAGCAAAAATTTTAGCAAGGATTCAATTTTGGCATTTGTAGTGAGG